TGTAGTGTAAAGCACCCTTCTGGCAAGACAGTGATGGAGTGAATCATGGTGAAAGTTTTTCTTTTTCGGGCCACCCTGCCTTGGTGGGAATCGGCCAGTGTGATAATAATAATAATAAATATAGTTGTACCAACGCTCTTATATGGGTGTGAAGCATGGGTGATGAATGTTGCAGCGAGGAGAAGGCTGGAGGCAGTGGAGATGTCATGTCTGAGGGCAATGTGTGGTGTGAATATAATGCAGAGAATTCGTAGTTCGGAAACTAGGAGAAGGTGTGGGATTACCAAAACTATTATCCAGAGGGCTGAGGAGGGGTTGTTGAGGGGGTTCAGACATGTAGAGAGAATGGAACAAAACAGAATAACTTCGAGAGTGAATAAGTCAGTAGTGGAGGGAAGGCGGGGTAAGGGTCTGCCTAGGAAGGGTTGGAGGGAGGAAGGAGGTAAAGGAGGTTTTGTGTGCGAGGGGCTTGGACTTCCAGCAAACGTGCATGAGCGTATTTGATAGGAGTGAGTGGAGACAAATGGTTTTTAATACTTGACGTGCTGTTGGAGTGTGAGCAAAGTAACATTAATGAAGGGATTCAGGGAAACCGGCAGGCCAGACTTGAGTTCTGGAGACGGGAAGTACAGTGTCTGCACTCCGAAGGAGGGGTGTTAATGTTGCAGTTTTATAACTGTAGTGTAAAGCACCCTTCTGGCAAGACAGTGATGGGATGAATGATGATGAAAGTTTTTCTTTTTTGGGCCACCCTGCCTTGGTGGGAATCGGCCGATGTGTTAATAAAAAATATATATACTACTACTTATTGTTTTTTAATGCCTAGTTCTATTGCTAACTTAATATATGTTAGTGTAAACTTGTTATCTAGTACAGGTCTCCCTCAACATTCGCGTTTTCAACTTTCGTGGGCTTTACACATTCGCGAATTCCCAACCTTCAAATTCCTAGCCGCCAAATCATATTTAAGTTTTCCGTCACCGTGCGTCCCTACTATCCTCCCTCCGACTCCCGCAACTGGCAGCCAGCCCACCCACCACTCAGTGTGGTGAGTGTTTTGTTTGTTCATTATTTGCTATTAAGCTACAGTATATATATATAATGTCAACCCATTCATGACTGTATATTGAAATGGCCATTTTGACATGTATTGGACGGCGACATCATTTGTTTACTCTTGAACATGTTGATAATATATCAACATGTCGGTTCTCTGAACCATTCATCTACAAACTCTTGAACATGGCAAAGAATCTAACATTTCTGCTACTGCTACTGCTAATAATAATAATAATGTGATAGAATTGAAGAAGGAAATTGTACAAAAATACAAGGGTTGAAGCAGTGGTGGGAGGCATCATGAGTCGGTTTGGCTTTGTTTATGCTTGAGTGAGCATTAGCCTTCATGCTCTTCCAAACATTTCACAATAATTCATTGTGTTTGGTGCTTGTAGATTGAGTGTGACTCCAGTGGTTTAGTCAGTGGTAGAGGCAGTGGTAAAGGCAGTGGTGGAGGTAGTGGTAGAGGCAGCGATTGAGGCAGCAGTTGAGGTGGTGGTGGAGGCAGTGGTTGAGGCAGTGGTCAAAGCAGTTGTGGAGGCAGTGGTGGAGGCAGTGGTAGAGGCAGTGGTGGAGGCAATGGTATTTAATAACATTATTAATAATAATAATAACAATACAGTGGAACCTCAAAAATCAAACATATCACATATCGAACGTTTCGAAAATAGGACCATTTTTTCGGACAAACTGTGTCCCTATTATCGATCGCGCCCCTATTTTCGGACTGCCGGGTACGGGACCTGTCTGCCGCCCGCTCTGTCCGCGTCCCCGCGCAGGCGCCGTGAGCAGTCTAGGTTTGTTTATGCTTGAGTGAACACTAACCTGCGCTCTCATTCATGTATTTTACGATTATTTCGTTGTGTTTAGTGCTTGTGGGACTGTAAAATAAGCTACCATGGGCCCAGAGAAACTTGCTAGTGGTACCCCTGTGGTAAAGAAAGTGAGAAACACCATAGATGTGAAGAAGGAAATAATACAGAAGTATGAGAGTGATGTGAGACTTGTTGAGCTTGCCAGGATGTATGGGAAAAACAAGTCGACCATCGGTTCTATCCTGTCAAAGAAAGAACAGATCAAGGAAGCTGATGTTGCAGAAGGTGTTAATATAGGGAGTGGATGAGGTGCCTTCTTCAAAGATTAAGGAGATCTGTGCCAAGTGGAATGATGTCCAAATGTTTGTGCAGAAGTACCACCCTGAGCAAGCTGAAACAAGCCATCTTTGCAACAAGTTCAGTGACAGAACCATGTCCCATTTTAGGGAAATGTTAAAGAGGCACCAGAAACAGAGGACTGTGGACAGTTATTTTGTGAGACAGGGGTCCAGTGACTCTCAAGCTGGTCCTAGTGGCATTAAAAGACAGAGAAGGGAAGTAACCCCAGAGAGGGCTTTACCTGAAGTCCTCATGGAGGGGGATTCTCCTTCCAAACACTAACCCCAACTCTCTCTCTCTCCTCCTCCCTATCTTACAGATGCCATCACCAATCTTCAATAAAGGTAAGTAAAAATGTTATTTTATATGTATTACTATACATAATTAAAAACTATAGTATTTGTTGTATGTAAAACTGTAATTAATCTCTATAAAATGTATTTTTTGTGTGAATATTTTTGGGTTTCTGGAACGGATTAATTGTATTTCCATTATTTCTTATGGGAAATATTGCTTCGAATTTCAGACTTTTTGAATTTAGAACTAGCTCCTGGAACGGATTAAGTTCGATTTTTGAGGTTCCACTTTAATAATAAATGTTAATAATAATAACAATAAAACGGTAGAATTGAAGAAGGAAATTGCATACAAAAATACAATACGAGGGTTGAAGCAGTGGTGGGAGGCATCGTGAGTCACTGTGGCTTTGTTTATGCAGGAGTGAGCATTAGCCGCCGCGCTCTTCCGAACATTTCACAATAATTCATTGTGTTCGATGCTTGTAGATTGAGTGTGACTGCTACATAATTAACCTTGGGCCCAAAGAAACTTGCTAGTGCCAGCCCTTTGATAAAAAAAATTGAGAAACACGATAGAATTAAAGAAAGAGATTGTTCAAAAATACGAGGCAGTGCACCACAGTGGTTGAGGCAGTGGTAGAGGCATTGGTTGAGGCAGTGGTATTTAATAACATACATGTTATTAAACCATAACATGTACGTATATAGTAGAATATTTTACGATGTTTTCATGTATTTTATGATTGTTCATGGTTCAACAGGTTAAGGAAGCAGTATTATATTTCCCTACAATATATTGGGGCACCAAACATTTGCAATTTTTCAACATTCGTGAGGCTCTTGATCCCCTAACCCTCATGAATGTTGAGGAAGTCCTGTATTTCTATGCATTTATAAGTGGAAAAAAAGTGTGTTTCACTTTACAGCGATTTCCGCTTTACAGAAGTAGCCTGGAACCTAACCTGCCATATAAGTGGGGCCCTACCGTACATTAATTCTTTAAACTGATTCAGTGGTCTTAAGTTAATTGGGATTTCTTAAGCAGTTTAAAACCTCAAAATTGTTTAGGTCATTACTCCTGGCCTATAGGTCAAACTGAGTTAATATTTACAGATTTAAGTTCTGAGCACAGGATAACCTTGAATACCAAATTTGAAGAGATTTAGAAATGGTAGTGTGCTGGGCACTGGTTGTCTTCTCCTGTGTTTCCTACCATGGTAGGGTAAGCCAAATAAGGAAGCACATTCATTATCATTTATTTCCTATCTATCTTATGTTATTTATTGTATGAGGTTCTGTTAGAAAGTTCCCAGACTCAAATTTTTACATGCTTCCTGGGTGAAATATGGTAGCAGCATAGATCATGCTGTGGCAAGTTTCAGTGCAGTCGGTCATTCTGTTGAGGGTTGTGTGTGAAATTCTGTTTCAAGCTCAGTAAAATGGCAAGTGAAACTCAGTGATTCAAGAAGTATTTGGCAACAAAGCAGTGTTATGAATGATTTTCTCAGTTCAAAGCAGAATGAACATTTAAGGTTGATGAACACACTGTTCATCATCATCAAAAATAAACCCTAACATTGAAAAGCAAGAAAGGCTATTCTCAGAGATCATCATGAGAGTATCCAGGACATTGCAAGTGCTGTGGGTATTTGTTATGGGTCATGTTAAAGCACATTGACAGAAAATTCGAACATGAAACGAGTGACTTCGTACGAAATTTGTGCCCGACTTGCTGACTCAAGATCAGCGTTTTCTGGCCAAAAGCAACATGATGGTCATACCCCACCCTCCCTACTCCCTAGATCTAGCCCCTTGTGATTTCTTTCTTGTCCTAAAAATATTGGCACTTGATTGCCAGCATTCTTGTGATGTGGAGGAGATTCAAGAATCACAGGCCATGCTAGATGCCATTAGGAAAGAAGAGTTTCAGAAATGTTTTGAGAAGTGGCAGAAGTGCTGGGATCAGTGTATAGCCTCCCAAGTAGAGTACTTCAAGGCAGACTACTTCTAGTAGGTAATTATGTAAGCCCATATATTTTTTTTACTGTACTTGTTGATAGCATCTCGTATGTATTACATATTTAAACCATAATTGTGTCTATCAGGTCTTTTGCTTATTTTTGTGCTGGAACTGAAGAACTAAACAAAGTTCTTGTTACTCCTGAGAACACCTCACTTTAGCAGCCAACACTCATGTTACCACTTGTATCTAACACCTCACTGTAGCAGCCACCACTCATGTTACCATTTGTATCTAACACCTCACTGTAGCAGCCACCACTCATGTTACCATTTGTATCTAACACCTCACTGTAGCAGCTACCACTCATGTTACCATTTGTATCTAACACCTCACTGTAGCAGCCACCACTCATGTTACCACTTGTATCTAACACCTCACTGTAGCAGCAACCACTCATGTTACCACTTGTATCTAAAACACCTCACTGTAGCAGCCACCACTCATGTTACCACATGTATCCAACAGGTCCCTTGCTTCCCTCTGTGCTGGAGCTGAAGAACTCAACAAAGCGCTGGACACTCCTGAAGATACCTCGCTGCAGCGACCACCACCCATGTTGCCACTTGTGGACAAACTTGTGCTCCTGGGGTCAGGCTTGTCCTCCGAGCAGACCAAGAAGCTCGACAACCTGGCAAGGCTTCTTCGTGCTCGCCTCGTTTCTCACTTTAGGTGAGGGTTTATAGGTTTATGATTGACTAAATGAATAGATTAATAATACAAAGCTACATTCATTATATGAGTTCAACAGTACCATTACAAATTCACATTCATTGCATGGTTCAGTTTTGTTGATAAAAATGATCAGCCAAAATCCACATTAAATACCAGCCATCCCATACCTAGTTAACAGCGTACATAACCTTATATGACGGGGCTCTGCTTAATATTTGACTGGTCAAAATCTCTGAGTGAGGTCTGTAGAAGACTCCAGTCCCACTGCTAGCCTTACAATGTAAGCTGTCAAAAAATATTTGTGTATTGTGGAATTGTAGAAACCCTGAGATTTAAGGTACCTTTACTGGCTTACCTGGAGGGATTTAGGGAGCCAGATGGAGAAATTCCTTGTCTCATTGCCTTCCAAGGGGATGTCTAACCATAATTGGCCTGCTGGCACCTATGTTGCAAAGCTGCAGACCTTTTGAGATACAACAGTATTTGTACTGAAGGTACTTTCACCTATATGCCTAGCCTAATTAAACTGTCTAAACTGCAGTCATAGACTAGGCTCTAGCTTACCTTTCAGCTAATTAGCTTTGCAATCAAAGTTTGGGTTAGAGGTATAGCAATAAAGCAACACCTCAACAAGCCTTTCTTGTTGAAGGGGAATCTGAAATATGGTCCCTGCCCCAAGATATAACCCCTTCCACATTTATAACAATTTCTTGTGTCTAAGAACAGAAAAACACCAGTTTTCACATTTCTGATACAAATCCACTTTCATTGTATAAGTACTACAGTACTGATACAAAGAAAAATTCAGTGTTAGAGTACAGTACTAAATGCAGAGTATGGATTGCAGTCCAAGCAAGACATATTTTGGATTATTTGTAGAATGCTTAAAATCAAAATGCCATAAAGCAAAAAAAAAAAAAAAAAGAAAACATATCTACATACACAAGTGCCTCACAAAACATCTTTTAATGTATCCACAGAACAAAGTGGTTTAAGCAGATACAATACTGTGCCTGACCGGGGACTGAACCTGTGACATTTACTCAGCCTCCTGGGATACTAGGTAAGTTTCTTGACACCTTTGTCCACTAGGCCACCATGTGACCAAACATCAGGTATCCAGTAACAGCGGGCATGTCTCCTGACACGAGTGGATAAAGGTGTCTAGAAATTTGCCTAGTGCCCCAGGAAGCTGGGTAAATATAATGGGTTCAATCCCTGGTTAGTTGCAGTACTGTACAGGAGGGCCCCGCTTTATGGCGTTTCACTTTACGGCGTTCCGCTAATACGGTCATTTCAAATTATGACCAAAACTCGCTATACGGCTCCCCCCACCTGACTTTCTAATACGGTCACCGTGCCCCACCCTGTTTGTTTACATTCTCTGTGAGCTTAGTAAGCACTAAGTCTCTCCATTTTGTCTGGAAACTCCAAAATTTCAAATGTTTTTAAAAGTTATTTCATATTTTATATATACTCTGATAATTATACTTATGTATACCTGTACCTAAATAAACTTACATTCTGTGCTTGCATGCAGGTACACATGAAAATCGGTAAGTGTCTTATGTCTCCAGACGTCATATTAGTAATGATAATAATAATCATCGAGTCATTTAAATGTCGTATATTACGTTAATATACACATTTTCATTAATCCATCTATGATATTTTTTTCAAAATTATATAATAAACACGATGCATAACATATAAATAAGATAAATACACCCCACAGTAGAATAAATAAACATAAATGTGAGATGTGGTAGCAGACGACTTGCACAAGTGACGCCATATTAGAAATGATAATAATAATAACAATACTCACCGAGTCTCATTAAATGTCATATATTACGTTAATATACACATTTTCATTAATCCATCCATGATATTTTTTTTCAAAATTATATAATAAACACGATACATAACATAAAAAGATGATAAATACACCCCACAATAGAATAAATAAACATAAATATAAGATGTGGGAGCCAGATAACTTGTACAAGTGACGGCAAGAATAACCGCTTTACGGCGGTAGCCTGGAGAAAATGGTTTGTTTACAAAACTTACGTTCGCCTGGTTTGTTTACATAACTCTGCGCCTGTCCCCTCTCATGTACTCAGATTATCCAACTTACGAGGTGATATAAAAAAAGACCTGGAAAACCCTATCAGAAATTCTGGGAACAAAAAAGATATCACGAAATAGCAAAATAAAATTAGCAAAATCAGATGAACCCCAACTCCCACCAACAGAAACAGCAAACAGACTCAATGATTTCTTCTCCACTATAGGACAAAACCTTGCCAATAAAATCCCAAGCTCAGATACCCCACCAAATGACTACCTCACTGGCAACTACCCGAACACACTGTTCCTAGCTCCGACTAACCCATACAAAGTCTCCCTTATTATCAACGCACTAAAAAACAAGGCAGGAGATTTAAATACCTTACCACCCTTTATATACAAAAAAGTGTCACAAGTGCTATCACCAATCATTGCAACACTCTTTAACAAATCCATTGAATCCTCCACCTTCCCTACAGTTCTCAAAATAGCAAGGGTCACCCCAATCCATAAAGGAGGAGACCAAACAGAGTTGATTAACTATAGGCCAATATCCAACTTACACCCTCTCTCAAAAATCTTCGAAAAATTAATTCATAAACGAATCTACTCCTACCTCATCTCCCAAAACATACTCAACCCCTGCCAATTTGGATTCAGGCCTAATAAAAATACTAATGATGCTATTATACACATGCTAGAACATATATACACTGCAATAGAGAAAAAAGAAGTCCCACTGGGGATCTTCATTGACTTACGTAAAGCTTTTGAAACAGTTGACCATGACTTGCTCCACGTAAAATTGTCGCACTGTGGTATAAGAGGGCACTCCCCCAATTACCTCAAGTCATACCTCAGCAACAGAAGCCAATATGTGTACGCAAATGGGGCAAACTCTTCCGCACAACCAATTACAGTTGGTGTCCCACAGGGAAGTGTCCTTGGCCCTCTTCTCTTTCTCCTATACATAAATGACCTACCAAATGCTTCGCAATTACTCAAACCCACATTATTTGCAGATGACACTACATACATCTTCTCTCACCCGAGCCCAGTCACGCTAGCCAATACTGTAAATACCGAATTACAGAAAATATCTACCTGGATGAGGACTAACTAACTTACACTAAACATTGACAAAACCTACTTCATTCAGTTTGGTAACAGAGCTACAGATGTCCCTCTTAACATAATGATAAATGGATCACCTATCACAAAGCTAACAGAGGGAAAATTCTTAGGAATCCACCTTGATAATAGACTCAAATTTCATACACATATACATGTACAACAAATTTCTAAGAAAATTTCCAAGACTGTAGGCATACTATCGAAGATACGGTACTATGCTCCACAGTCAGCCCTCCTGGCCCTATATCACTCTCTTATTTACCCCTATCTCACCTATGGAATTTGTGCATGGGGCTCAACAACAATTAACCATCTCAGACCACTAATTACCCAACAAAAGGCTGCAGTTAGAATGATAACAAATTCTCACTACAGGCAGCACACTCCACCTATATTCAATACACTAAACCTACTCACCATACAAAACATCCATACTTATTACTGCACCTATTACACACATAGAACACTTAACTCTGATATTAACCCTCCCCTCAAACATCTCCTTGCCAACCTCAACAGAACACATGACCATAACACAAGGCACAGATCACTCTTTGATGTTCCTCGTGTCCATCTCACGCTATGCAAAAACTCAATGCACATAAAAGGCCCTAAAATCTGGAATTCATTACCTGTAAATATAAAAGAAACACTACCTGTTTATAAATTCAAGTCTCTTCTCAAAGATCACTTACTCACCCAAAACCAAATAAATACTGAATAACTGAACCTTATAAATTGTATATCTTAAATGTTTCTCACAATTATATCACATAAATGTTAAACCTAAAACCCAATCTAACTTTGTTATTTTTTAAATACACTACCTAACAGAATACTCCATTCGACTGAATGTACAGCAATGCATGCAACCATATGACCTGTCTTTGTAATACTCATTTGTGCTTTATAGTTATCTGTTTACAATAATGTTTTATCACTGATTTCATCATTGCTTAGTTAATCTTAAGTTAATTTTAAGCCAGCCTGTAATGCTATGCATACAAGTGGCTTTGGCATGCTGCTCTTACCTGTATTTTTTTGTACCTCTGTATGTATGCTCAAATTACTAAATAAATAAATAAATAAATAAATAAATTGTGATAGATAAATAAGCCGTACAGTTGATAATAGCGTCATATTCAAGTATTTTTTCTCATCTCTCCAGAGTGCAGGAACGAATTAATGGCTTTCATTTAATTTAAATGAGGAAAATTAATTTGATATACAAGTAAATTGAGTTATGAGCTAGCTCCTGGAACGGATTAAACTTGTAAGTCAAGGTTCCACTGTATACATATATCTACCTGTTGTATACAACACAATACTCGCACTTTACAGTGTCATCAGTACGGTGTTCCAGAACATGTTTACACTATAATGTAAACAAACACAGGTTCAAATATTTCACATTACTGCTGTTCTAATATACATGTGCACATATACAGCCATTGGTAATGTTGCTAGAATTGTTGCAGTCTGTGGAAGTTCTTGAAACACAGCTCCATACACTCTGAGTTTTATACGTCTCCACACACAAAGCATGCATCTCTGCACTTTCCTGGGCACCTTGTGTGTGTACAAGCATGACATCTCTTCTAAGCCCATTTCTTAATGTCTGTAGCAGGAAGTGTCGTTAGGAAAGGAGGGTATCTGATCATTATTGCAGCACAAGTGTAGTGTAGGTGTTTTGACCTGGTATTTGTGTATTATTTATCTGATGAGACATATTTAAGTGGCCATTTGTGGCCTGTTGCTGGTTCCTGACCTGGTACATATTGTAAGCATTG